AATCGCTTCCACCTTCCACCCCTCCATAACATTCACATGGTCCATCTCCTACTCTTCTCTTCCCTTCCTCGACTTCACCATTTCCATCTTGGGGCATAGATTATCAACAGAATCTTTTACAAGCCCACCAACTCCCACAGTTACCTGGATTACACCTCCTCCCACCCAACCTCCTGTAAAGACTCCATTCCCTTTTCCCAGTTCCTCCGCCATTGCTGCATCTGCTCGGACGATGCCATCTTTCACTCCAGAGCAGCTGAAATGTCTTCTTTTTCCCTCGACTGAGGATTCCCATCCCTGTAGTAGACAGGGTCCTTGACCGTGTCCATCCTATTTCCCGCACCTCGGCCCTCACTCCTTCTCCCTCTTTCCAGAATTGTGATTGGGTCCCTCTAGTCCTCACCTTCCATCCACAGGCCTCAACATCCAACAAATAATTCTCTGCCATTTCCGGCACCTCCAGCGTGATCCAACCACTAAATGTATCTTTGCCTCCCCTCCCCTCTCAGCATTCTGAAGGGATGGTTCACTCTGTTACTCCCTGGTTCATTCCTCCATCACCACCAACAGTTCCTCTCCTCCTGCCAACACCTTCCCATGCCAGTGCAGGAGATGCAATACCTGCCCTTTATAATAATAATAATCCTTGCATTTGATATAGCGCTTTTCACGTCGGGAGGACGTCCCAAAGCGCTTCACAGAACACACTGTAAAGTGAATTGACTGTATATTTGTGAGCGAACGCGGCAGCCAATTGCACGCAGCAATGTCCCACAAACAGTCGTAGATTGAAAATGACCAATTTATTATTGTTTTTGGTTTTGGAGGGATTATTATTAGGCGTGTGGAGTAAGGAAACTTGCCCAAGGTTTCGTCCTACCTGGAGTTGAACTCAGGTCTCTCGCTTGCAAAGCAAGTGCTCTAACCACTGAGCTACAGAACTCCACCTCCTTTCACCTCCTCCCATACCACTGTCCAGGACACCAAACACAGTTTTCAAGTGAGACAGCAATTTACATGTACTACCACCAATGTAGTTTACTGCATTCGCTGCTCATGATGTTGTCTCCTCTATACTTGGGGAGACCAAATGTAGATTAGGTGACCGATTTGCCGAATACCTCCATTCTGTCCGCAAGCACAACCCTGAGCTTCCGGTTTCTTGCCACTTCAACTCTACCTCCCACTTGCACTCTGACTTCTCCATCCATGGTCTCCTACGCTGTTCCAATGAGCTACAGCACAAGCTTGAGGAACAGCACCTCATTTATCTGTTAGGGACCTTACAAGCCCTCTGGCCTCAATATTGATTTAAACAAATTCAGACGATAACAGCTCACCTTCCCCCTCCCCCTCTTCTGTGACCATAACCACATCATCTGGGTCCCAGACACACCTTTTCTCTCTCTGGTCTGCCTATTTTGTTGCAATTTTCCCCTTCTTTGTTTTGCATTATTAACACCTATTTAACCCATTATTCCCTGTCCTCTCCCCCATTTTCTCCTTTGTCTTCCTTGCCCTGCCTCCCCGCTCTCTGTTAGCCCTTAAAAGCCTCTTCCTCCCAACATGTCACAGTTCTGTCGAAGGGTCGTGGACCCGAAATGTTGACTTACTTTCCTTTCTCCATAGATGCTGCCTGACCTTGCTGAGTGTTCCCAGCGACTTCTGATTTTTTTCTCTCTCAACTCGTTTCAAATTTCCTTTTATGTGTTTTTTAAGAAATGCCATTTTTCCTGTAAGTTACAATCTATTCAGAACCAGACCAAAATACAGGAGAACAATGTCTTAGTCCCTGGTAAGGAGTGTAGAATACGAAGAAAGGGAATAAAAAAACAAGAAAGTGAATGTTTAATAATGATAAATAATATTTTTTATTTATAGACATGCATATGTCAGGAAGACATATGTCAGAATGCTTCACAGAATTTACTGTAAAATAAAGTGACTGTATTTTGTAGCCAAACCCCGTGGCCTACACATCTTTTATTCAACAACAACTTGCATTTACATAGGACCCTTCATGTAGGATGGCATCTCAGAGTGCTTAATATTGTGCCAATATTAACAGGCAGGAAAAGTGGCAGGAAGAAATAGTAGCATAAGGTTAAATATTAATTACTGGTCACAAAAGCATGAAGTGTGCCTGGCAGAGATGGCTCTCATGTGGGAGTCTAGGTGGTGGAAATATGTGCTGAAACTGTTGAACTGCATACTTTGAATGCTGAGATGCAAGGCATGTCCAACTGAAGCACACCAGAGAGCTTATATTTGAATAAACTGTACATTTCATTTGAAATATTGCTCTCAAAAAGTGTGTTTCACTCATAACTTGGGGTACCCATCTGGCCTGAATAACGTGACTAAATTGTAATGTGATCGGGATCCATTGTTAATATTTTGCCTTGGAAGACTGAATATGTGGAATTTTGATTTGGCCACTGTCAGATTAATGCATTATATATATATATATACACCCTTATATATAATGGTATTTGGAATAAGTTCCTACTTGAATAGAAACTGCCTCATATTACACTCTATCAGGTGAAATTAAAGTAATCTTTCTCTAAGTGGATAGTGACTCTCCAGTACAATCAGTCATTTTAGTGGTTCACTTAAGCTCTTTGGGATGTCCTCCTGATGTGAAAGGTGCTATACCAAATATAAGGATTGTTATTGTGATTTGCCATTCAGCCCATCGAATGACCTGGGTGTGTGAGTGTGGTGGAGCCAATGCCGCTTTCAGTAACTACATCCGTGGAGCTGGGTTCCCAGCATTAGATTTCCATTTTGTATCTTCTCCTGGCAGTGAGTGGGATACTGTTTATTTGGTAAACTCAAAAAGCTGGTAAACTGGCAGCATTGCACAATTCTCCGTCAGTGGACATCACGCTTCACATCCCATTGTTGCACTGACATGTTTGCTAAAGGGCGACAATGGATTTCAAACAGATTTAATGCCTTGGACCCATTTTTTTTTAAGAGTTCACCATTGAGAACAGCTCAGGGATGTGGGCGGGTGTGAATCTGCAACATGCTTTCTAAATGGAGAAATGGTTCACTAAAATAACCTTTTTTCTTGAAGTAAATGATTATTTGGCTGCTATTCTGGCAGCATTTTACAGCAGCAGGAGTTTATTTGCACTGCAACTCAAAGGAACGATGCACGTCATGAGACATATGGAGAGCACTAAAGCTATCACAGTGATTTGCTACAATACATTTTTTTATTCAGCATGTTGTTCTCTGCTTCTTAAAATAACCAAAGTAATGTAAAAACAAAGCCCTTTAGCAAATTGTATCCAGATTCTTACCAGTCAATTTTAAAATGCTAAAGTGATTTTAATAAGGATGATTCCAATTTAGAAAGATAGTTGATTGACATTTTCAGTTTAAAGATGTTGCCAAACCTAGATTTTAGGTTAATAATAACAATTATTAGTATTTAAGCATCTTGGTATATTTATATATTGTATTGCCTTTCATGTCCTCCTAACATGAAATGCAATAATAATGTAAATTTGCATATTGTTTTGCATTGAATAGTGGGATGAAATCTTTGACACTCACCTGAACAAGCAGACAGGGCCTCAGTTTATCATCTCATCCGAAGGATGGTCCCTCCAACAATGTAGCATGAGGCCCAACTGTGAGCTCAAAATCCCGATGAGATTATTCTTGTTCAAAAGCAATTTTTTGCTTATATAAATAATGGAGTTATGACAGGGTACAATATGCACCTTTGACCAAAAACAATTGTAAGGGTACATGAAAATGATCTATTCCAAATGTAACTTTTTTGATTGCATGTTATAAAAATATCTTCCACAGCAGAGAAACAACTAGTAAACTTTATAGTTTACATAAGAGAACCCATTAGTAGCTGAATATGGATTAATGTTATTTTGGTATCTACGAGTATTTATCCAAATTTTTCATTTTGCAGGGTAACCTTTGGAATTTTAATAGCTCTTCTAAAGGATGTCGGTTGACCTTTTAAGGGCTGTTTGTTCAGTTTATGAACATAAACAAGATTACATGACATTAACATGTTGGGTCACACACAATCTCCCTGGAAACCTTGGAAAGAAGTACTGTATAATGTCAAGGATGATGTCAGCTAGTAGGAATGAAGGTCCAAGGATTCATCTTAAAGTAACTACTGAGCTTCTTCCACTCACATAGTCTGAATATATTTAAAATCACGCACATGAAAAATGCCAGGTATCATGTGGTAACACTGATATCAGATCAACTCTAGATTGTTTGAGAGTTAATTTGGACCCTGCATTCTAAAGCTATCTGCTGGTATCTTTGGGCTGAATCATTGTCCAATGGCGAGATGAGGGGGGAAGGGGGGCACACTCATTGTCAACAAGCTTAACTGCAGCTTTCTACTATGTGATAATTATCATTCGTCATAACATATTACAGCTTGCCATTTCACCCCAAATTTGCTTTAATTTTGCATGTAACACATACAGTCTGACCCCTTCATAACGCAACGGTTTAGGGCCATAATCTCAAACACCACTTTATAACGAGGTACACTAAAAAAAGGTTACCATAAGCACTTCCAGGTTGTCAGGTTGTTGTTGATGTCATTTCTTGCACACCGGGCATGGGTGTAGGAAGCCACAACCTTGCTTTGGATTGGGTGTTGAGACAGCACTGGTTGCTGTGAGGCCTTGTGTCCTGCACACTCGGAGAAGAAAGCTGGTCAGTGCATCGCACATCTGATGTACCGCACGGATCCATTGGGCGACTGCACTCGAGTGCACTATATTGGGGATCAGCCTGTAATTAAGTGTCAACATTAATATTGACAACCCCATTATTGCTTTCAAAAATTTAATTCCTTTATTTGTAAAAAGTAAGTTTTAAGTAAAGATATATACAGAGTATGACATGGTTGGGTAATTATATACTATTATAGACACTATATCATCACCTTCAATGTAGAAGAGAAAAAAACTATTATTGACAATGAAATATTTCAAACTGTGCTTTTTATTTTACATTACATGTAGAAAATATTTGCATAACTTCCATTAAAGGGCTTACATGGCAAGAATAAATGGCAAAACAAAACATTGATGCAAATGTACAAGAAAATATGAGCTTGCGAGGACATGAAAGACAAGATGTAGAAGTAAGAATTTGCCATGAATGAGGGGGAAATTGTGTCCATTGTCTTTTAATGTAGGAGCTATTCCTGAAATAATGAGAGCAGGGCAAGTGGAGGCTATTTTGCCCAGGAAATTTCAACCAGCAATGCAAAGCTATAATACATTCTAATGTAGAAACCAAGACCAACACTTCAACTGGAACATTTCTGGGACAGCTTATAGAAAGCAGCACAACTCTTAACCATGTAAAATGTGTCAAAAATACAGATATAAATGCAAAAAATATATACAATAAAGAAAAAAATGAGTTGAGTATTTAGGTAGATAGAAATGGTTGTCTGGTGCAACCTAGTTAAACAAACAAATGTTCATATAGACTGCATTGCAATCGGACTGCTAAGAAACCTGTTACAAACAAAAGCAAACTTTGAAAGATGCGTGCAATGAAGCTATCACAGCAATATGTGAGCAAAGCCCATCGTTATAGACAGCTGTATTGTGAACTCATTCGGTATTTTTTCGAAAGCAAAATTAGTCTTCCTAAATTCACTATAGGTTGGAAAATCTCCACAGGAGTGCTGAGAATTGTAATTTATTCACTGTTTGGTGATTAGGGCTTTTTAGCCTCAACTATATTAACCCTTTAACCAACTAAAAGCTGCTGGCTGAACATTGAACCAAAAGATGAATCCAAAGTGGAATAGAATGCACAAGGTTTTGATGAATGGTGAAATAGGGCGAGGTACTGCAACAGGCTACAACAGGCTACAAAAGGTCAGCGATATTGAGAAACAAAAAGAAGCAATGAATGGTCAATGGAATTTTGCTCCATAAGTAACGTTAAGGTAAGATACTTAGCCACACTACGCTCTAAACTCTTCATAGTAATTTGCCAGGTTGGCTGTCGAGTGAAATATCAAGTGAAGCTGGGGAATAGCACAATTTACACCTTAAGCTATCACCATTTGTTTACATTTGCTTCTTTAAGCAACAATGCATATGACTGTATACGTCTTCATCTGGTATTTTATAGATATTGTGAATATTAACCAGTAAACAAAAGTAACTCGATGATTCAACCTAAAAACGGTGTAATTCCTGGGCAAAACCTAGAGAGGGCACTACTGGCTAAGGCACTGGAGTTGGAAACAATTACCATATTTATTGAATCAAATCAGACTAACTACAATAAGAACAAAACCTAAAAGAGCACTTATTTAGTAATAATTAAGCTATATAGCCTGATAAACAGCACTACTATGGCCTATCATGCTATGATTTAAAGCACATTGTTGAAAGAACTAGAACACTGATCATGCAATATTCCAGTCGAAGTCACTTGTATTTAAAATAACAATAGCTTCATCCTTCTATCATATAGCGAGTTCATCTAGCTAAACATTTTTAACCCTTGAGATTTCATCTGAAATAAATGTAAAGCTACCCACTAATGCATTTGAGATTTTTTTTTCAATTGTTTTATAATGTATTTTCTAAAGTGCTTGCATAATGGCAAAAGGTTAAAAAAATGCACGTATATTGTAGTTTGCATATTCTATCTCTGTGCGTTACAACAGGAATAATCACTATTCTAGCTGGTGTAGAACCTTGTGATATGAAGCAAGACCCCTGGATGTTAACCTCCGGCAGTATGAACTGAGATTGTGCCATTGAGTATTCCATGATCAGTTACAATTATGGGACAGGAAATACAACAAAGGATGTTCCCTCTAATGTTCTAAAACTCTCTTGACATTTTCATTTTTAATATTTATGCGGATCTGAAATTGCTCTTTGTCATAGTCAGCTGCACTACAAAAGTGACCAATACAAGTCCATCCAGTTACATTTCTATTCTACAATACCAGAATCGAACCAATGAAAGATGCAGGCTTCAAAATATTCATCAAATGCACACATGAGAGCAGCAGGCAAACAATGCAGCACATACAGAGTAAACTCCACATATAACAACATTACTAACTCTTCCACAGCAGCTATCTCTGGAAGTATTGACAGTATTTCTACAAGACGGTCTCTAGACACTTGGATTTTTGCCTATGCTTTTGCATAATTATTCTTTCAGTTTTAATTTCAAAAGACATGGGAATGGTGTTGGAATTCACTACTAACTGGTATGGAACCAATAAACCTCTCTGGGACGGCTGATACATTTATAATGGTGCAATTTTGGATTATAGAGTTGAATTGAGATGCAACAAACAGTACTGCATATTATTGGATGCTCTTCTCTCATGGTTATGAACTAACTAGGCACATATAAAAGTACACAATATAATAAGTCTAATAATTCACATTAACCTGCTGCTTTTCTATGTCTAATAACATATTTCTACAGGGAGCACACTCAAATCTTCATTTCCATGCTTGCGATTCCTACAACCGACTTAAAATAGAAAGAACATCTCCTTAATAACTAAAAAGGACACATAAGGCACTTTTATTTGCATATTTTAGAACATCTAGGATGTTTTTTCTTGAAACAAAAATCAACATACTGTATTTATTTTTTAAAGCCCTGTTGACTCTTTGGAATCCTTTTAAATGTTTTCACGAGTTTTCTTGAGAATGATGAAGGAAGACACATTTCGTGCTGAAGTTGAGAACTCATCCAAATGATGCTTTACGAGGTTGCTGGGCCTACTGATTCAAGAGCTTTGGAAAAACTGCAACTCAAGTTTCACCCTGTTACCTGAAGTCAATTATTTTTCAGAAAGAGACTTCGCTTTGAGAAGCCTGGTTCCACACTGACGATTTCTCTTTGAGTTTTCTTGCGATCTTCACACTATAAACGATTTTACAATGGCAATGGGTTTTCTTTCATTCCAGGGACTTGTGACCAGTTTTTACTATGAATGTCCATGAATAGAGGCACTCGAGAGGTCATTTTGTATGATTTCATTTACTGGCAAGAAATAAAAGAGAAGAGTTATTGGAAAGGGTTTATGAAAAGCTACAAGCTTATTGCACACACATTCACCCACAGACAAAGACGCGATTTGGGGTCACTCTTGCAATAGTTCGCAGTCTCTACATTTTTTTGGTCAGCCGGGTGTCTGACCCACGCGGAAACCCATCACTATGCTTAAGAGTATCCACATTAAACTGAGAATTCCATGCAAAGGGTCAAATATGCACGAATATTAGAAAAAACAGAACAGTGTCAAGACGAGTTGCAGGAATTCCATTTAATACATTTTATTTTCAGAGTGAAGTTTCCATGAGCCGATGTGAGGTGCTTCCAGTTACCATAGGTCCCACTTTCATTCCTCATTGAAGAATCCTTTGCCTGTTAAAATTTAAGTTAAATCGGATCCTCGTGGATTCAGAACTTAGAAGAATTCTGATGGTTATCTTGACTGCTTTAAATGACGGACATTTGCTGCTGCATGCTGAATTCTCTTTTCAACAAATCTCAGCAATTGGTGTACGTTTCCAAGAATTACAAGTACAAATAGAGTTGCATATTGTCTTGAGAATTGGAAAGCACTGCTGGACTGTTTTCATCCCACCCCAAAATAAACATTAACCAGTCAGTCAGGCAGGCAGTCAGTCAATTATTGGCCTTGAAATTCCAATATGTATTAGACATAACAATGTGTAAATATTATACTATGGCTTTAAATGCAAACTAACACATTTCATATACAAAACAGGGTGCGTAATGTGAGAATTTTCATTGCCATTAAGTAGCACATCTCTCGGAAAAATTCCCCTGGATCTAGATTTGCTCTATTTATGTAGCATTTTAGAACATCCGGAATTGAAAATTGTTGAATTCAGTTTTAACTTTTTAGTTGATTTTCTGTAGTTATTAAAAAAGGCTGTATTATTTAAAAAAAAATTCTGCAGAGTCTGAAGAGTGGAAGAGATCCAGGTGGAATTTCTCTGCACAAATTTTCCAATTTTCCCTCTATTTTGTGCTTACCAGCTATCCCAAGCACAAGTGTTACAATTTTGCATCTATCATTGGGCTAAGGAGGACAGCCTGATACTTACTTCCCCTGGTAACATTTTAGGAGCTCATTTGGCAATATTTCTCAGCCCACTCAATGAAGTATCCTTCTCAAGAGAATAGGCAAGTGAATAGTTAACAGCTACAAGTATCACACTGGAAGATTTTCTGTACATGGATTAAGGTGAACTGAAATACAGGACTTTGTGGGACATTTCCTTTTCTACTTTATTTGATTAATAGGATCTAGCTTTCATTTGGCCGGTGACTCGATCAAAGACTTGCTGTATTCTGCGTACTCCTACGTATGTTAGGATTTTAGGTCACCTTGACTGCGTTCCTTCCCCCCATCCCAAACAAAGAGCTTATGAAGCAATCACTTTGTACAGTTTATACTCTATATGCACAGGATTTCCCGACAATTAACTGCACATCCTTTCTCAATAAATGTGCAGTAACGACGAAGCAATCACACTTCCTCTTGTTCAATCATTGCCACAATTCAGCGTCAACTGGCAGGTACTGCTAGGCTCAACAACAATACCACCTCCCCCTATGGGGGATTAAAAGTCTATAGAGAGTAAAATGTAGGATATACCACTCAACAATCAAGGCTATAATTCAAGCTTCATGCTTTATAGTTCATGAACTTTTCTTTGTAATTGCTCCTTTTTGTACTCTTTGCTGCTTGGTGATTAGGTGTAACGTAGGTGATTTAAATTTATGCAGGAATTTGGAGATGTCAGTTTGCCTCAGTTGGTCATCAGGGTCAAAAGGCTTTTGGGTCAAGCCCCACATCAGCACTTACTGCACTCTCATAGTCTAGGCTGACACTTGACTAGGGAAGCACTAGGCGAGGGAAGCTCTGAACTTCTGATGTCTCTTGGGTGAGATGTTAAACTGACTTCTTTCTACTTGTTCAGGTGGTTGTTAGAATTCCACTCACACCACAACCACAACTTGTATTTATATAGATAGCACTCTTCACATAGTCTTAGAGGGCTCTGCTATGGTCTCGGACTCCAGTGGCACTATTCAAGTTTCTCCTGTTGTCCTGGCCAATAATCCGCCAGATAAACAAAAACAGTCATGGTTGTTTGTGAGTCATTGCTGTGTGTAGATTAGCTGCCAAGTTTGCCAACAAATTCAGTCACTATGCTTCACATAAAATTCTGAGAAGCGCTTTGAGATGTTTCACCATGATAATATGCTGTATCAAATAATAATAATAATAAATTCCTTGCATTTTACATAGCGCCTTATCGCGTCTTCGAGACATCCCAAAGCGCTTCACAGATACAACGATTATAATAGAAAAACATATTATACAAACTTTTGTATAAAAGCACTTTGATTGGGTTTGTCTCTGAAAAGTCACATTATTTGAGTGGCTGTACAGAATCTCTGCATCTTGCCGAAATAGTCTACATTATCCATTCAGAGCTATAAATTCTTTATGAGCTGGTAATGACTAAAGCATGTATATTTATTTGCACCAAAGTTGAATTAATTTATTGAAGGGAACAATACCTTCCAAGCATTTGAGTAACGACTTGGAGAGCGATGACCTCACTTCCATTTGAGAATGTCAAACAAATACTGAAAATGGAACTGTCAGAGCACATAATATTTCAATTGCCTCTTCTTAACTAATTTGTTTGCAACAAAATGCTGTTGTAAGTATTGTCAATAAAATACAGCCCTAGCGAATTATTTACCCATCTTTCATTTACTTCTTTAATCCTGGACTTGTGACGAAAAGTACATCATGCACCTATTTTCCACCCTTTCTGTGACTCGGAAACAAAGGCACAATGATATGTATACAGAAAAGAAGTTGTACTTTCAGCAGTTCAAAGCCTCGCTGAAACCGGTGCTGCATTATCTTTGCATTATCAGCTCACGAAACTGCTCATCTACAGACTGCTTTTCTTTGTTTTTTAAGGGAAAAAAAACCCTTTCCTGCAGATTGTCACCACAGCTCATTTCCCACACTCAAGATTGAGTCCATTTATCATTCTGTGTGCTTTGGCAGATGAAAAAGGAAATGACTAAACATGGCAAAATCAAGTCAACCTAAACAAGCAACCGTGTGTCTCTTGCCCTGATTTTAGATTTTGATAAGTGAAAATGTCAATGAAGATGTCACTTGTTTGCACTTCCAACTTGTAGTTAAAATAGTTCTTATCATGTACCAGAATGCCCACGTCATGGAACCAGCACAGGAAGATGTGCTGTCTGATCTGATCTGATGTAGGCTGTGTCATTCTGTCTCCCCATGTGCTGTCTCTGAAAACGAGAGATAGCAGTGCTTTGAAGATTCTCAATGGACTTTCTGCCCAGCAATAACTGCTGTTGGCCCAAGAGATGCAAAACATTAATTAAGTCTGTAACACAGTCCCTTTGTTTTTTTTAAAAAAATACTATTGAAAAATGTGCCGGCACCTCTGGATGTTAGTGTCCTAAAATGGTGAGAAACGCAGTAAATGAGCTGTGAGTTCCACCCTGTACTTCCACCACATGGAGAGTTTCTGATCTCAGCTGGTCAACGCAGGGAGGTAAAGAATGGAGGTCTGGCACTTATTCTGGCAAAAGGCCTCAATAAGTCAGAGAGAGAGTCAAACTGCTTCTCTTTAAAGCTTCTCACATCCAGCACGAGTGTTGATATCACCTAGTGCTGAGAACAGGCCCAATAAGAGAGATTAATCAGGAATGGTGTGTGCTTAAGGAGGAATTAAGGAGTGGAGGAAATTTTTTTTATATATATTGTGATGAGAAGAACAGAAACTTGCTTTTTCAAGCATGACCAAATGTGGTAAAGAGCTTCAACAGGTTCAAGAGAACTGGATAATTAATTTGCATCAGAATTTCTATAAGATTCACTGAGGTACACATAGAAAAATATAAACATAGTAAAATAACTCTAGATATCTAAAGGTCTCAGCCTGGCTCAGTTAGTAACACTCTCACCTCTGAGTCAAAAGGCTGTGGGTTCAATCTCCCATGTTTGAACTTTTAACTCACATATTCCAGGCTGTCCCGCTGATCCTGTGCTAGGGGTGTGCTGCATTGTTGGAGGTATCCTTCAGATGAGATGTTAAACCGAGGTCCTGTCCGCCTGTTAACATGGACCTTAAAGATCCCATGGCACTATTCAAAAAGAGTAACTAGCTACATCTACTTTTAATTTTCATGCATGGAAAAGTAAATGTTTACCATATAGATCACTCAATTAAAACATGAAAATAATTTGTGAAAGATATATGGTTTGCTGCATCAACTTACCTATGTCTAACAAGTCAGAATTGTCAAAGTTCAAACAATACTAGTAATATAACAATATATGTTACCAACATGAATGGTGCTACATAAATGCAAGTTGTTGTTGCAATTCAAAGAACATCTGAGCCGGCTTGAACTGTATATCTGTAAAACAATTTAAGCCTGAAGTGAGAACTTACAACAAATGCCATTTAGCATTAACCACTTGTATTCTCTGTTAAATCAACAGGAATTTACAGAATAACGTTACATTCTAAAGATCATTGTGTATGTAAGCTACAATAAATAGAGCCTAAAATGAAATGTGATTTTCTGGTGTTTTCGCCAGCTCAGTTGCCCACAACAGAGGAATGAGATCCTCTGTTCATGATATGGCCATCTTATCTCAAAGGATGTGGAGGCGCTGAGAAACAAATGCTTATCATTGTCACCAGACATCCAGCAAATGTGATCTTTTTCCACAGACACATTAAGTGACATTTTTCAGTTATATACTTAGTAATGTGGATTTCCTTGGTACATTTCCAGAATCTTTCTATACATTCAGGCTACCCAGGAGTTTATCTTATCAATTGAAGAAAGCATGGAATGAAAAAAAAGTTTATGGCTTCAAGCTTGATCCTTCCATGCACTCCTGTTACCTCTACCTGCTCATAGCTCATACCCCA